AAAATTTTATCATGCGATCTCCAGCATCATTTTTATCACCAAGGCCATATTTTTCAACTACTGATCCTTCCTCTTGGTTTCCAACCTTTGCATTCCAATAACCGATAATGATCAAACACATCTTGATTGCATGTTTGATCAATTTCAGACTGAAGGAGCTGGTATAATTCTTTAATTTCACCATCACTGGCTTTAATGACTGGTGTGTAAATTTGATAATAGTTGTATCAACTGGTCTTCCTTATAGGCATACAGATATTATCCAATCACAGACAGTGTTGTACTTTAAAACGTATCTTGAAATGCTTTTTGATGATGAATGCAATGCCATACCTCTTCAATTTGTCATTCCCAGCACAGAAAACTATGTAACTGTCAGATTCAACACAGCAAACACCAGTCCATTTTAGTTTACAAACATCTAGGATATGGATATTCACGCGTTCCATTTCATTTTTGACAACTTTCAATTTTCCTAGATTCATGAACTTGATGCATTCATGTTCTGATTATTAATAGATATTTTACAGCTGTTTCTCCTCATTTTTAGTTGTGCCCCATAAGTAAATGAAGGTCCTCAAAGCTTTACTCCATTTGTGTCATTATGGTCAACTCTACTTTGAGGAAGCAGCTCTTCCCCAGTCATGCCTTCTAACCCAATGCCTTCTAACACAAGGGGCTCATCTTCCGGCACTGTATCTGACAATATTCTGGTGCTCTTCATCATGCTTCAAGATTCAATAAACTGGTGCTAACAGACAGTATTTCATGTTATTCATAAGGTTTTCAATGACTATAAATTCAGAAGTAGTCCATCTCTTTCTTCTTCCTAGTCAGTCTTAGTCAGAAGGCTCAGCTGAAACTTATCCACCATGGACTGGACCACTAACAATAAGGCATTTAAAATACCAGTGGCATAACTTCCAGAATCACAGCAACATGTAAGCCACCAGAGTCCAGCAAACTGACAAATGAGTGGCGGACAACTACCATAGGGCCCTGCAATTCCACTCCTACGTATATTCCCAAGAGACTCCCGAAAGATGTACACCCATGTTCACTGCAGCACTATTTATAGTGGCCCAAAGGTGGACACAACCCAAGTGCCCATCCACAGATGCACAGATTAACACAATGTTGTTCTGGAGTGGCGCTGTAGGATAAGCTAACTGCAAGATTGGTGGTTCAAACTCACCAGCCACTCCCTGAAAGCCCTATACAGGTGTGCTAAGACTTAACGGTATACAACAACAACAAAGTCCATTTACACAATGGGATATTCCTCAGCCACAAAGAGACATGAAGTTGTGACACACGCTACGACACCCTAAAAGAAACAAGTCCCAATAATGTGTGATCCCACTGATAAGAACTATCGAAAACAGGCAAATGCACAGAGAAAGAAAGTAGACTAGTGCTGACCGGGGCTGGGACAGGGCAGTGGGAGTGTCCCTTAGAGGGTACTGCTGGGTTTCTATTTGTAGTGGTTGCAGAACCTTGTGAATTATGTAACGCCATTGAAATGTGCAGTTGAAAGTGATTAAATGATAACTGTTATGTAACAAACCATCTGCAGGGTGGAGCGGGAACTGCCGAGCTGACAAGAGCCCAGCAAGGTCTGAAACAGAAAGCCGTCAGCAGTTATTTTCCCACATTGTGGAGAAATCTGAGTAGGACTGCAATGATGGAGGAGAAGGACTCTGGCCTTTGAGAGGACCTTAGTGGAACTGAGACAGATCTCTTCTTGTAGGCGCATGCCTAACTATGTATGATGTTTGTGATTTTCTTTTGAAATGCTCAGCAAACGTGTGTGTAAACATGGTGTTGAGATTAGGTGATGATGATACAGGTATTCAATGCACTCTAATCCAAGTGAGTCATCTCTTTCCCAAATTTCTCTCCGACTGTCTGTGCTCCACACACACGTGCCCCACCTTCCCACTGAAAGCTGGGAGGCAGCCACTTCTTGCTTCATCCAGTCTTCCCATCTCAGTGACCAGAACCCACTCAGCTCAAGCACCAGCAGACATCTTGAAGGCCCGCCTCTCACCAGAACCACTGCAGCATCCTCCTAGTCCCTCCACCTGGCAGCCAGAGTGCCTTGGTAAAACTCCCTGTTTAGGAACCCCAAGCCCAGTGCTCCCTGAGAACTACACTCTTCCCGCCCGTTTCCTGCCACACCTCACAGGACTGCTCCTTTGACTGCCCCTGGCACTGGGGTTCCCATGCGCCCTTCACCCATGGTGGTAGCCCTGGGGGTGGGGAGACACTGGAACTGCAGCGCCCTGGCCAGGCTGGCTGCTGTTTCTCCTCCTCCTCCGGTGGGTCTGCACTCAACCTTTGATCTTCAGTCTAAAGAAGCCCCTTGGGCAGTCTCTCTGTCTTAACATCACCTGCCTGTCCCAGCCTCAGCAACCTGTCTACTTGCTAGCTGGCTGTCTCCAGGTGTCCTAGTCTAAGCATCCTAGTATCTGAAGCAGGCCTGGTTGTAGCAGAAAAGATTTGCTGAAAGCAACCAGTCCGAAAGTTCTCTTCATGCAAAACGCTCACATAGTCCATCTTGAATGAACAAAACTATTATCAGTAAGTTGTACACCTGCAAAAACTGAACTGGCAAAAGCTGTGTGACAGGTGTTTCTACAACAGTGATCAAAACTAAAACAAAACAAAAAAGTAGCGGCTGAGGCTGCTTATGGACACCCAACAGCTCATGGGATCCGGTTCCTTAGTTGGGAGGCTTGGGGTCATGGCTCCATAGGACATTCCAGTGAATTGGCCTAATAGTGCGTCTAGTGATTCTGTTCTACCTCCCGGTTCATCGTGAAGGACCTCGGGACTTACAAACTACAAGCGTACACCCAAAGCACAGCTGGTCTTTATGGCCCTGGAGCAACAGAGGGAAGGGACAGGAATAGAGGATGGGGACAGCGTGGCTACGATCTCCACAAACCACTGACGCCTCTGCCATTAAACCAGAAGAACTGGATGGCATCCTGCTACTGTTACTGAACACTTTGATGGAAGATTCCACAGAAGAATCCTGATAAAAATGGGGGAAAGGAAGAACAGAATCTCAAAATGTCATAGAGGCTGGGCTTCTGGAGCGTGAACCCCTGAAACTAGTGTCCTGAGATTACCTTTCCACCTTAAGCTAACACTGTCCCCTGAAGTCTTCTTCCCTAAGAAAATGTCTGCCTTGAGTATTATGCTCTTTGGAAACTATATGCTTGTTTAGTAAACCTTCACTATAAGAAGTTTTTAAAATACTATCTATATGGGATCAAAGTAATAACAGTTAACTGGACAAATTCAACAGGAACCTTGGTGGTGGTGGTTATGTGCCATGGAGTCGGTTTCAACTCATTTTACCCTGCCTAGTTTCCAAAAGGAGCTCTGGTAGCGTAGTGGTTATGAATCAGGCTGCGAACCGCAAGGTCAGCAGTTCGAAACTACCAGCTGCTCCAAGGGAGAAAGATGAGGTTTTCTGCTCCCGTAAAGATTTACAGCCTCAGAAACCTTGTTCAGGGTCACTATGGGTCGGACTCAACTGTACTTAACAAGTGTTTCCGAAGCTCGTTCCGAAGAAAAGAGTTTCTTTCTTCTGCGGAACAGCTGGTAGTCTCGTACTGCTGATCTTGAGGGTAGTAGCCTGACTTTTAACTACTACACTACCAGAGCTCCTTAAATAGGAACCTTAGTAGGCAGTGAATTCCGGCCCATTGGGGAGGAACAACTCAGTGAAGGACGTTGAGACTGGCCGCACAAATGGACGGACAGTCAGACTGTCTGTACAGGTGCAGTTAGAAGCAGCTGAATTGGTGCATGTTTTTCTGTGTGTATTCTCAAAAAACAACAAAATGAAATTAAAAAAAAAATCATGTAAGAGAAAGAGGAAATTTCATGGGGAAAAGCCAAGTGCAGCCATGTTTAGGCTATTTCTATCCAAATTCCTTTCAGCTGGTGTCTCATGACCTGGCCCATAAATAATCCACATCCAGAAAGCATTATGTGTGCACGTGTGTAATAAATCATAGAAACTAGTTTTAAATCGATTTACTCTCTGAGACTATATAGAGATCGGTCACAAAAGCTTTTATTAATTTTAAAAGGTGTAAACTTTACCTTAGTCATAGTTTAATAAATGACATGAATAGCAATTTACAGACTCCTAGTATGGCACTGCAGAATCAAAACTGGACTATTAACCACAAAGCTGACAGCTGAAACCCATCAGCTGCTCTTGGAAACCCGATAGAGTTGAAACTGACTCGACAGCACTTAACACCAACAACATGTTCACACAGCCAATCATGAAATCATTTTTTAAAAAAAATAACAATTTCATTTTATTAAAACAAACCAATATGCTACCTCTAACACTATTAAAGGGTAAGCACATCATCAATGACTACAAATGGTCCACTTAGGGTCGATTTGGCATAAAGTAAGGATTGCACTTTCCACTGCGTAATTTATAATGAAAATAAGGAACTGGATGAATTAAGCAACACAGAAGAGGGAAACAGATGAAGCAAGGCCCTCGAAGGGGCAGTCCTGTTCAGCGCCCGGGCCTGTTGGCTGTGGGAGGAGCTGGACTGACATCGCCTCTGTTGACAAATATGAGCTAAGTCCCCTAGGCAGACCCCTGCTGTGGCCAAGAGCTGCTGAGCTAGGACAAGGCACAGCCTTTGTGAGAGGCTCGGGGTCTGCCACCAAGTCGATTCAGACTCAGAGCAACCCTGTACAGGGGTCCAAGACTGGAAATCTTCCCAGGAGCAGACAGTTCCATCTTTCTCCCACTGGCCTCGCAGGCCAGCAGCCTGAGGCCTCACCCACAGCACCAGTAGAGCTCTCCTTTTTGTGAGAACCGTGATACTAGGTTTCAAAAAACAAAGGACCGTTTTTAAGGTATCTTACAGAAATAAGGACAAATCGGAATATCATACGTAAAACTTGTAAAATTCTGAAAATCTCTCTACCTGGCCCAATTGTATACTGACCTTTTTGAGAGAATCTCCATGTCTTTCCTGAATATACTTTAGGAATGCTGTTGTCCACTGAAGAGTTGTGGCCTTATCCGTCTCAGCATTGCAGAACGGGACTAAAAGATTCAATTCATCACAACAAATTCGGATTCGGCGTCTACAGTCACAGTCCAAAGCAATGACAGAGAGAAGCGGAAGCAAAATGAAGGAGCGAAGGGACAGGCTTCATAGTATCACCTGAAGGTCTCGAGCTCAGGAAGCCTGGCCACTGAGCACTGCACAGAAGTCCCACCACTGATTCCCTGATTCTGACTCAGGAACTCTCTAGGACAGAGATCACTGCCCTCATCCTTCTCCTGAGGTGAGTTCGAATCCCCAACCTTTCCATCAGCAGCCAATCACTTTAACCACTGTGCCACCAAGGCCCCTAAGTCCCACCCAGGAGGTGTGGATTCATTGTTCTAGAAGCTCAGGAGTGGACCACGCCCTCACTGACCCCCACCATGATGCACTCTCTGGTTTTCCCAATTTACTTCTCAGGGACTAGACCAGTGAGGGGTTCACAAATCCCCAAAAAGGAGGCAAACATTTTATAAAAGTGATTTATCTGGGCAGACCATTCTTCCACTCAACAACTGGCATTCAGTGTACCCAGTGCTATGCTCGGAGCTCATTCATAGCTTTCAGAGTCTCCAAGACAGATAGATGATGGACAACAGGCCTGTTAGTATCCTCAATCCCAAACTCCCAGGGGTCCTCTCTTAGCAGACAGTTATTTCAAACTTTCGCATATTTATGTCCTAGTCCAATTCCCAAATGAATTGCTACTAAACAGTTTATAGAAAATGACGCTCATTATTCATCTATCTTTACAACCATTTACTTAGACTTTGAGAGATTTTGCAAAGTGTAAACAGCAGCTAGCTGCTAAACAGCTACTTTCTAACTTTCAGGCACTAAGCTAACACTTTTGGTATGTCATTTCATTTACCTCCAATCCCAAGTAGATGAGGCAGATACTATCCCTATCTTAAAGATAAGAAACTTGAGCTGAGAGGGCTAAAGAATTTGCCTAAACAGAGTTGAAATTTGCTAGAGAGTTGAAATGCAAAGTTTACTGTCAACATGCAGTATAAGGCTTTTCACATTGTTGTTGTTGTTGTTAAGTGCCTCTGAGTTAGTTCCCACTCATAGGGATCCTGTATAGGGTTTCTGAGGAGCGGTTGGTTGGCTTGAACCGCCGACCTTGTGGTTAGCAGTCCAGTGCTTATCCTACAATGCTGGACTCGTGTTGTTGCTATTATGTGCTGTTGAGTCAGTTCCGACTCAGAGAGACCCTGCACATGGTTTCTAAGGTGCAGCTGGTGAGTTTGAACTGCCAACCTTGCAATTCAAACCGACCTTATGGTCCAGTGTTTACCCTACTGCGCCACACCAGGACTCACACTAGGTATTAACTGTTTATTCAATAAATGGGAGCAGGAAAAAGGAAGCCCTTTCGTTAGTGTGTGTTACAGACACATAAAAGCAGAGGATCTGTCTTTAATGCATAGCTCAGCTCAACATTAGAGCCTGCCAAGCGGGCCACTGGATTTCCTGAAGCTAGAACAGAAACCAGTGCACACTAAGGACTCAATATATGACTATAAAAATTGATAACATATTGTTGTTAAGTACCTTTGAGTCGGTTCCGACTCACAGCAACCCTAAATAGGGTTTCCAAAGAGCAGGTGGTGGGTTTGAAGCGCCGACCTTGTGGTTCGCAGTCTAGAGCTAATCCTACAGTGCCATACTAGGATAATGTATTAGGGAATCATATCAAAACTCAAACCCTAACAGAAAACAAATTAACCACTTTGATTTTACATAGACAAATAGCACCAATAAAATCACAGATAAAACAATTTAAATAACAGTTTAACCTCCTCCTCCCCAACATTCTTTAAAAGAACCAAGCAAAACCCAGTGGTCTCACGTGCAGGCCCAGCCGCTAGCTTTTCAAAGGTTGGCTTATGAGGCTGGCCTGCGGCAGGTGTCACTTCAGGAAGACTCCTACCACAATTCCCCGATACAAATGGCTCACTTCAACTATCTGTGCAAACAATGTGGTTGATGCTTTCCTCTGGGGGCATCTTGAGTTTGGGTGTGCCTGTGGGGGTGAGTGGGCACTGAGCCTCTGGTGAGCCCCCCTGGTTGGCAACACTTCACAACTCAGTACTGGGGGAGTTAAGCATGTCCTGTGGGAGGCTACTGAGTGAGGAACCCCCACACACAAGTTTGCCCCCTGTGCCTTTTCTCTTTGCTGATTGTACCTTTGACTGTAATGAACCTTAACCATTAGTTCTCCTAGAGAATTGCCAATCCTGGGGTGTACTTAGGGACCCTGGGGATCCACCCTGGGTCTTCCCGCACAGAACCAGCTTTAGTATCGTTTTATCTGTAATACAATTACACTTTTAACACTATTGTATACAAATCAACCTGGCTAGATCAATCACTCGCATTACCTTCTATCTCTTTCCATTCGGTTATGCCTCTCCCTACGCTGAGACCTTCCTCCCTGGGGCCCGCTCTGGGTCTGCTCCCCCAGGTTGGACTGTGAGGACTCCGCTGATTGCCAAGCGCCCTGTGCGGCTGTGGAACCTTCGCCCACATTCTGAATCTCTCCAAGGGCTCTTCTTTCTACATTTGTGTCCAACTGACGTACTCTACTTCGATTCCTCTTATTTATTGCTTGTTTACATAGCGCTTCTTCTTTGCAAAAGAAGAAAAAAGTGGTACTTTAATTTTTCATTCTTCTTGATTTATCCCCATCAATGCTAAAACATTTTCCCCAGCCTTTTCCCCCCCAGATACACACATTACTGGGCAGGTCGCACAGAGAACAGAACCAGTAAGAACTACACTGTTGCTGTTACCCAGAAGGGGTGTGACATTTCAATTTCATGCTACAAAATTGAACATGAATTTACAACTAAGTGAACATTAGTTTTTTGGTGTATCCTCAATAAAGCCTGTCAAATCCCTCCCTATACTGTTTAATCAACAGCTACTAATATCCCTACAAATAACGACACCAAGAAGTTACCAAGTCTTCTGATATTCAGAATGGAAACAAACAAAAAAGCCTTGAAATATGTTTTCCTAACAGGATTTTCTTTTTATACACTTATTCTAATCTGACAAGTGGTATTTTAACGGCAGTGCTCAGAAGAGAGAACAAAACCAAAGTGGCTTTAAGATAAAACGTGTCCTCACCTGAGAGGTCATTCTCCCACAAAATGAGCAACTGCATCCAAGCTTTACTCTACAGAGATGTCAGATTTCCATGAAAAAAAAAAAAAAAAAAAAACAGAAAAAGCCAGCATCGGGCTTGTCATTGGAGACGTGTCTCCTGATGGCCACAAAACCAAAGTCTCTATGGTGAAAAGAAACGCTGAGCAGACATGTCAGAGCAGCGACACTTTTCAAGGGAGACGTAAGGGGAAAATCCAAAGCATTGTTATTTCACTCCCTAAGCTGAGCAGTCGGTACAGGGGCTATGTGACTATCTGTAGGCCTTCCAAGTATTCACGCTTTTACCTGAACCAGGCCTTAGTAACAATGGGAGAAACATGAGACATGGGCTAGACAGTTCTCCATTCCTGTCCTATCTGCATTAGCTCTTGAAAAGCCTAGTGTAAGCTGTACTCCTTGTCTGTTCAGGGAAGAATCCCATTATCTTTAATTCCATTCTTCCACCAACTTTCTGAGGCACTCTCATATTATCTTGAAAGTGACTGATTTTTCTGGAAGAACAGGCTTGAGTTCACCTTACATGTTAGTAAAGTAAGCCTCTAGTTGTTTCTTCCTTTCTAGACCGTTCTGAATCATCGAAGGCCTCTTGCTCCCAACTCACTCTTGTGCCCACCTGCAAACTATCCTTCTATGGTTATTCACCTCCCTAAGTCATTAGCAGGCTGCAGACTCCTGCCTCACTCACGAAGTATAAAACTAATAATAAAAACAGGTGACTGTGCGTTGAGTGTAACTTCAGGAGGGCGGAAAATTCAATGAGCTGAACATGGTGGTTACAACACGGCTGGAGCTCGGCAATAACGGGCAGGGTGTGTCTTGTTCTGTTGTCCAGGGGGTCACTACGAGTGGGCGAGCTTCAGTGGGAGCTGGTTTGACAACACCAAACAACAACAACGTAATTTTTCTATTTACTGATTTACTTCACTATTTTAAAAAAATTATCCCCGGAAAGCAGTGTTTCCAATATAAAGTATAATTATTACGTTCGACACTCAGAGGAACGCTCAACATGAGGTGACTGGGGTGACAGGAATGGAAGGATCCCCTAACATGTAAACACGCCTGGAAGAAAGCTTCATCTGTTTATAGCTCCCCGGCCTGCCCCCTCAACAACGGAGGGCATCAAATCAGGTGAGGTCAAAATGCCACCTATCTTCTGCTTTATAGCTTACCTCCTACTTTAATCCAAACCTGCTCAGGTAAAGCTTTGTTTCTACTGCCTAAAGTCTGTTTAGTGGATTCAATTTCCTGCTGATAACAGAAAGAAAATGCTCTAGGCAATCCAATATCCTGATGCTTGGCAGCTTCGAGTATAGAACAGGAGGTACCAGAACTCTGGAAAAAATGAAGCAACAGTAATTTTATTAATATGTGTCTTAATCTCAGTACTGCACAAAGAAAATGCACTTTAACTGAAGCACTGTCAAAGCTATTCATAAGCAATTTGAAGAACTTTAGGTGCACTGAGGATTTTTTAATTATCTCAAACAACCGTAGTATTCTCCGTTTTAAAAAGTCATTCAATTCAACCCTGGGACCTGACTACAATGAGTTCAGACTCAATATCCGAGCAAAGCTCCGTGGTTGTCTCCTCTACCTGTGTCTGTGAAAGGTTAGAACTCCCGGGAGTAGAGCAAGCGTTTGTAGTGAACAGTGGGTATGTAAATTGCAAAGCAGTAGTTGCAGCGGTAGTTTTATTCTTCACTAATGTCGTACATTTGTTTTGTTGCTGGTGCAGAGGAACATTCATTAGTTCAGATGGGTGTCGAATAAGAGTTACCAAACTGCCAAGACAAAAGAAAACCCGAGACTCATGAGGACTGTGTGGCAGAGAGGATCCCTGAAACATTACACTCTCTACTGGGTCCCTTCCATTTTTTAGATAGGAGCGGTGATCTATTACAAAAATCACACATGATCTCGCGGAGTCCCGGAGTGGGGCTGCGGGCCAATGCCCTGGACTGCAAGGTCAGTGTGAGTCGCAAGGTGGCGGTTCAAACCCACCAAATGCTCCTAGAAACCCTACGAACCAAGGCATTTAACAGCAACAATCTCCCCACTTCGGAACGCTGTGTCTTCCTCTTGGAGGAAACTGGGGCGGGTGTCTCACTTTTGAATTATGCCTTCTGCGCCCCGCACAGCCGCCAAACTCGGGTGCAGAGGCACACCACGTGGTGGGTCTCCAGTAGGCTGCATCCGGCGTGAGAGCGGGGCGGGCACCGGAAGGCAGACTCCTCCCCCGCCGGGGGCCGCGTCCCACTTCCCGCCTCCCCCTCCCGGGCCAGCACACACTTGTTGAGCGCGACGCCCGCCTCAGGGGGCTCAGGGCCGCGCGGTAGCTCGGCCGGCATGCTGTTGAAGCGGTCCTCCAGGCGGACGCGCACGGCCGACTTGGCCCGGGCCTCGGGCGCGCCCTCACCGGCCGCCGCCGCCGCCGCCGCGTTCTCCTTGTTGGCGCCGTCCGAGGCTTTAGCCCGGACCGCCGCCTCGCCCGCGCCGCTCGGCGTCTTCTCTGCCGCGCCCGCCACGGCCACTGGCAGGCTGGCCTCGCTCAGCAACATCATGCGCAGCTCCTGGAAGTCAATGTGGCCCAGGCATGGCGTAGACGCCGTGAAGCCGCCATCGGCCGCCAGAGCGGTCGGGCACAGCACGGGGTACACGGGCGGCGCACCCGC